CTGGCCGGCGCGCTCATCTTCGCGCTGGCGCTCTTCGGCAACACGCTGGTGGTCTACGTGGTGGCCCGCAGCAAGGCCATGCGCACCGTCACCAACATCTTCATCTGCTCCCTGGCGCTCAGCGACCTGCTCATCGCCTTCTTCTGCATCCCCGTCACGACGCTCCAGAACGTCTGGGACACCTGGCTGGGGGGTGAGTCCGCTGCCTGTCCGTCCCCGGCCTTCCAGGGGACCCCCCCACCCCACACAGTCTGCTCCTCTGACCTCCTGACTGTCTCTCTAGCAGAGGGTCCGGCCTTAGAACTTCCTCGCTTGTGCTCACTTGCAGAAAAGTTTTTGCCTCTTGGGATCTGTCCCGAGTTTTTCTCTCCTTGTCGCTTAGCGACAGGGTCAGGGACTGGCTTGGGGGTGAGGCGCTTCCCACTCTCCAGCCAGTTCAGCTTCTTTTGATAATTACCAAGATTTTTTCCTAACCCTACATAATAAAAGCCTAATATGCTAAGTGTCCACCCTTCCACCATTGGAACAGTCCCTATGACGCGCACTGACCACCTGGGGGCAGACGCTCTGTCCAGTAGGTTAGCTTGCTGCTGGGATCCCGTGGATCGGGACTGAGCGAGATGGGCCAGACACGCCCTGGAGCCCTCCCGCAGTCCCTCCCGGCCCCGATCCGTGCACTGGTGGGGTCCCTCGGCCTGGCCTGCGCCCTCTCACAATCCGGGACCCCTCAGGGGATGTCAGAGAGCCAGTTTCGGCCCCATCCCACAGACCAGGCTGAGGGACCCCACCGGTGCATGAATCTGTGCACCGGGCCTCTAGTTTTTAATAAAAGATAATTACCAAGGTTTTTTCCCCCTAATATTTAATAAAAGATAATTACAAAGGTTTTGTTTTTTCTAATTTTTAATAAAAGATAAAAATGTTTCAAATACTAAAAGCCCCAACATCCCCACATCCCCAACCCCGGCTACTCCCCAAGGTGCCAGTGTGGCTTCCAGACGTGTGGACTTAAACCTTTACAAAGACTAATATACTCCATTTGCAGAGAAGGGTGCCTTGGACCTGTCATTTATAAAAGGATTATCAGGGCCAGGCTGGGGGAGGAACACAGACAGTTCCTCTCCCTCCTTAGTGGGGAGTGGAAATCGCAGAGCCTGGGGGTCCCTGAGTCCAGGGCAGTGTGTGGAGGTTGGGAGAGTAGACACTGCACTTCCAGAACAATCCAGTCCTTCCAGAGACAGCTGGAGAGTGTGTCCTCGTCACCCACAAGCACCTGCAGGTCCCTGGGTGTGCCTGGGAAGGAGGCATTTCCCTGGGTGGGTGCACTTAGACCCTCAATCCAGAATCCTCCCAAAGTGGTGGAGACAGGGGGAGGCTGTGAGAGAAGTTGACCTTCTGCCCTCAGGCCCTGCCATTTCCTGCCCCTTGCTAATTCCTTTTAATCTCCTGCAGGGTATTCCTTGCATCCCACAATCACCAAGTTGAGATCTTCAGTTTCTCTCCCTGGCATTGCTTCCCCCCCCCCATTCCTGTCTCCTCTAGAATGTAAATATTTCCCCACATGCAGACAACACTCCAGTCCTGAGCAGCGACTGGGAAGTGGATTGCAGTGCAGGGGGCGGGAAGTGGATTTACGGGTTAGAGACTTCCTCAGACACTCAGAATTACTCGGTGGAGTATGTTAAAGTTGCCCAGTGCAACTACCTCCATAAAGTGTATGTGGAATCTTTTGATCATCCTATATAATAAGAGAGGAATATGCTAATTAGCTGTTACACCCTGAGGCCTAACGACCAAGCTTCACAACCAGATCACGCATCAGCAGGAGGGTGGGCCAGGGGGCTGCAGGAGGGTGCAGGGCAGCAAGCTATGGGGGGTGGGGTGAAAGGGGAAGGGGGGCAGGCGAGGTAAGGAGGGCGGAGCAGCAGGCCGAGAGCTACAGGAGGGCGGCAGCGACCTACTGGCGCATGGATTCGTGTGCAGGGCTACTAGTGTTTAATATAATTATACATATTTTAAAAAGCTATTCTTTTTTTGAATTGCTATTTCTTTCATCTAATTTTGATAGTTGCCAACCTTATTGCTATATTTTACATTTTTTTATTTAAAAACTTTTTAAAACTTGTAGTTACATTGAATATTTTGTATTAGTTTCAGGTGTATAGCATAGTGGTTAGACAATCATACTTTACAAAGTGTTCCTTTTGATATTTCCAGTACCCAACTGGCACCTCACATAGTTATTACAGTATTTTTGACTATGTTTCTTATGTTGTAATTTCTTTAAAAACTATTCTTTAAACTGCTTGACCTGGATTTGAGTTTTCTTTTTCTTCTTCTATGATAATTTACATTTTCACAGTCACCTCTCAATAAAAACAAGGGTTTAATTTTAACTTAAAAATGTCATACTGTCTTCCTCTTCAGTGAGCAGGCTTTTTTTCCCCTGTTTCTTCCTGTTGGTTTATTAATAAAAGGGAGAAATCTAGACCTGAAATCCTCTGTGATTTTATGCCAGTTTCAAAGTAACACTTAAACACAAAAGCAAAAAGCCTTCTACATAGCCAAACAACTACTGTTTTAAAAATGTTCTTTTTAATATTAGCACTGTATCAACATTGGTGTTATCTTTTCTTTATTGAGCCTGCCCAACCTGTAGTGATTTCTTAAGCCTGGTGCAAGGAATAATGGATTTACAAGAGCTTTTGGCCAAGATGACTGCAAAAGTAGGTATCTAAATTTCACCTGTGATGTTTCACTTCTATCGCCATGCTGTCTGGAACGTAGAGTGATGTGCTCGAATGGAAACATTTTTAGCATTGGCATCTGCAATACATTACTCGAAATAGCACTACCTATAGTGAACATAACTATTTCTGTCTTCAATACTATTAGGCTGAATCAAAATGTTTACTTGAAAAATGTTTGGAAGAAAGAGGCATGTGTATCACCGCTGATTCCCTGGGAGTGGAAAAGAATTTGCCCATTGGCTATTAAACTGGTGCCACTGTGAGGTGATCTATGGTCAGAGCCACGGTGGCTCATAAGCTAATGCATTTCAGATGTAAGAATAATTGCCAATAATCAGAGGGGCAAAATAGCTATTGTTAGGAAGAGATCACTGTCGCAGCTAGGCCCTGTATCACATTTGTAATATATGATTCATTTCAGAACTGGCCCTGAGTTACACAGGGAGGGAGGCAAAGTTGCCTTTCAGCACCTTCAGTTTATAATTCTGCATCTTTTTCACTCTTCATCATCCACTTAACAAGAATCTTTGGAGGATTTGCTAGTTGCCAGGTGCTGTGTCAGGTACAAAGGAGACACAGGTGAACAAGACAGGATTTCTACCCCAGAGGTGTTCATATTGAGTGGCAGAGCCAAACATGTAAACAATTAGGGACTTTCATATATAAATATATATTCATAAAGTTTAGATTCATAATGAAAAGCCCTGAGCTTTGTGGAGAAAGGCACCGAATAAATAGAAAACGTGGCTATGTTGTTATGATACCCATCAGTTGCGGACATGAGTTCCGGCCCAGGGCAAAGAAAGAATTAGATTGGGCCTCAGAGGCGTTAGACTCTGCGAAAGGAAGAATTTTAATAACAGTGAAAATGATACATTAATCTATTCCACCCGCGGCTACAACTGCTCCCTGCCATCAGCCGTGGCACCTGGAAAAAAATTGGTGGAGAGATGTTTTGGAGATAGGACTGTTTTTTGGACCCGTAGATCGTGCTGCTGAAGACAGTACATTATTTCCAACTAGGTGTGTGGCCACGTCGCCTTTTGTCTGGGAACGGAGAGACAGAACACTTTTCTAAGAAACTGAGGCGGGGACTGGAGAGCCTGAAGCATTGTTTGCAGTTCACTGCCGAGTGCAGTGGAAATGGGAAATGCAGGCAATTATTTGCCTTCCCAGCTTGTGGCATAGGGAGGCTTTTATTTTATATTATGTGGAGCAGCTTGATCTCAATACCATTAATTATACGTTAGCTCGATGCCCAACTTTTGGAACAAGAAACATGTCACCCGGTCTCCAGTGATTGTGGCTGCTCCCTCCCTCGCTCCCAGGATGCCCTTTTCTTTCTCGGGCCTGCCTGTTCCGGGGAATGGCAGTCTTCTCTTTCTTAGTCATACATTATCCGGGAGTCACATGGCACTCTGTCCTCCAAACACTATTGTGTGAAATGAGCTTTTGTGAGGTAGAGATATTTAATTGTGGGCAGTGGCAAGCAGAAAATAATGTAATCCACCGTTTCACCCCCCAACTCCTTGAACTTTGGAAGATTTATATGTCTGTTTCTTCCACCGTGAGTAGAATTATACTGAGAAAACTTGAGCGCTTCCATTTTCACTGCATAATTTGGAATCTACGATAAGCAAGATGAGGAGTTGGCAAACTTTTCCTGTAAAGGGCCAGCTAGTGCATGATTGGTTTTGCAGGCCAAGAGGCAAAGTTGAGGATATCATGTATATATTTTTTTATTTAAAAATAACCATTTAAAATATAACCATTGAAAAATGGAAAAATTATTCTTAGTTCACCATATAAAAATAAGTCGTGGGCTCAGCTGGGTCAGTGGTTGAATGTTGACCTATGAACCAGGAGGTCACCATTTGATTCCCGGTCAGGGCACATGCCAGGGTTGCGGGCTTGATCTTCAGTGTGGGGCGAGCAGGAGGCAGCCACTCAATGATTCTGTCTCATCATTGATGTTTCTATCTCTCTCTCCCCCTCTCCCTTGCTCTCTGAAATCAATAAAAATATATTTTAAAAAATAAGTTGTGGGCCAGATTTGGGCCATGGGCCTTAGTTTGTTAGCCCCACATCTAGAAGAAGCCGGAAGGAAACTCATACTAGGCAATATTTGTTGAGTGTTTCCTATGTGCTATTTACAGTGCTTCACCTTTTTATAGTCCCTGTCACTCTAAGCCTCACAACCATCCTGTGAGCCAGGCTTGATGTGTTAGCTCCCCTTTCCCGAAGAGAAGACTGAGTTCCAAGAAAGTCCTGTAACTTTTCCTAGGATAGTGGATGTCAGAGCGGGATGCAGACTCAGATTCTGAGAGTTGAATCATGACTGAGTTTATAGTTGGGGAAGAGAGGATTAGGAAGAGAGAGAAGAGATATGAGCAGGAGTCAGTGATGAAGAGAGGGAGGTGGATGCCACAGGCAGGAGAATGAA